CTGTGGTAAGGAATTTTGACTTTATTCTATAGGCTGAAGGGAGCCATTGAAGGTTTATAAAGAAGGAAATGACATAGTTCAGGTTTTGAAAAGGTAACTCTAATAGTCATATAAGAGATGGTATAATTTAGAATATTAGTAATAATAAAATAAAAACCAATTAACCTTTATTTGATCATAGGCTAGATATTGTACCTGAAATATCCCATTTTATCCTCCTAACAGTCTTTTAAGGTAGTATTAGCAAACTCTTTTGGTAAAGGACAAGATAGTAAATGTTTCAGTCTTTGCAAGCCATACAGTCTCTGTCACAACTATTTAAGTCTGCTGTTGTAGCACAAAAGCAGCCCCAGAAAATACCATGCTTATGTTCGAATAAAATTTTATAAAAACAAGTAGTAGGTCTTATTTATTAACCCCTGCTAGTGCCCTTTATGAGAAGGTAATGGCACCCCACTCCAGTACTCTTGCCTGGAAACTCCCATGGATGGAGGAGCCTGGTGGGCTGCAGTCCATGGGGTCACTAAGAGTCGGACACGACTGAACGACTTCACTTTCACTTTTCACTTTTCATGCATTGGAGAAGGAAATGGCAACCCACTCCAGTATTCTTGCCTGGAGAATCCCCAGGGATGAGGGAGCCTGGTGGGCTGCCGTCTATGGGGTCACACAGCGTCGGACACGACTGAAGTGACTTAGCAGCAGCAGTGCCCTTTATAGTTTAGAAAGCTGTAGTGAAGCTTTTGTATATTACTTATTGTAATATTATAATAAAATTTTTGTAATAAAAGCTTATTGTATATTGTAGTAAAAGCTTATTGTATATTATTTACCTCTTTTTGCTATGGTGGGATAATGAGAATAGAATCATCCTTAGGCAGAAATACTATGTAATCTTAGGGAAGCATCCTTCCTGTAAGAGGTTCACTAGATACAGCTATTTATGCACAACAATTTAACCGCATTCTGCAAAACATCCATTTAACTTTTTATTACAGTTGCTTTCCAATAGAATGACCCCTGGAATGAAACTGCTTTGAGAACAGGGACTTTGTTTTATTCACTATTCTGTCCCTAATGTCTTACACATAGTGACCACTCAACAAATAGTTGTTAAATGAATAGAATACTGACTCTTATAATTCTGGTGACTGAGGAACTGTACAAACACTTAAAGAACACTGACCTTTTTTAAAGATACCTCTGTAGTAAAGAAGATGTGGTATATACACACAATGGAATATTACTCAGCCATAAAAAGGATGAAATAATGCCACTTTCAGTAACATGGATGGACTTAGATGTTATCATACTAAGTGAAGTAAGTCAGACAAAGGTAAATAACCACATGATATCACTTATATGTGGACTCTTAAAAAGTACAAAATGAAGTTATCTATAAAATAGAAATGGACTCACAGACATAGAAAACCAACTTATGGTTACCAAAAGGGAAAGAGGGAAATAAATTAGGAGTTTGGAATTAACAGATACACACTACTATACACAAAATAGGTAATCACCGAGGAGCCACTGTATAGTACTGAGAACTATGTTCAGTATCTTGTAATAACCTATAATGGAAGAGAATCTGAAAAAGGATATATATATACACATGCATATATATGTATACATATATGACACTGAATAGAAATAGACCCTCAGACATAGAAAACAGTCTTATCGTTAACAAAAGAGAAAGGTGGGAGGGGGATAAATTAGGAGTTTGGATTTGACATATACATGCTACTATATGTAAAATAGATAACCAAGAAGGACCTACTATATAGCCATGGAACTATACTCAACATATTGTAATAACCTATAAGGGAAAATAATCTGAAAAAGAATATATATATAACTGAATCACTTTGCTGTACACCTGAGGTGAATATAATATTGTAAATCAACTGTCCTTCCATGAAAACATTATTACCAAAAAAAATGTCTTTAATAAATAAAAAAAAAAAATACTTCTAAAACTTCAGCTCCCCCAGATTGATTGTTTTCTCATTTATCTTGCCCGGATTTCCTTTGTTCTAGTACAGCTTCCTCTCTTTTACCCAGCTGGTATCTGATGTTAAACTGAAGCTGTCAGGTGCTGTATCTGCAAAGACACTATGCCATGCCACCCAGAAACATTCAGCATTCCAGATTGAGTCTTCCAGCACTCTGTGTTACTTATGTTTATTCTTTAGACTTTTACCTGTCCTACATTCCTTACCTCATTCTCTTCCATATTAGATAGTGAGTTTCACAGTAAAGAAACTGACCGGTGAATGAAGTTGTTTCATTTAGTCTTTCCAACAACCTTACTTTGTGGACACTATTATCCTATGAAAGTGAAAGTGAAGTTGCTCAGTCGTGTCCGACTCTTTGCGACCCCATGGACAGTAGCCTGCAGCAGGCTCCTCCATCCATGGCATTTTCTAGGCAAGAGTGCTGGGGTGGGTTGCCATTTCCTTCTCCAGGGAATCTTCCCGACCCAGGGATCAAACCCAGGTCTCCCACATTGTAGATAGATGCTTTAGGGAAACTAATGTTTGCCCAGTAACAAGTGGAGATGGGATTTGAACCTACACCCTCTACCTTCAGAGCTCTTTTTAAAATTGATATCTAGATTGTCAATTATCTTCTTTCTGTACTTTTAATTTTTTTAATTATTTTTGGCTGTGCTGGGGCTTCATTGCTGTGTGTGGACTAGTTGCAGCAGACAGGGGCTACTCTTGGTTGTGGTCTGCGAGGGTCTCGTGGTGGTGGTTTCTCTTGCTGCAGAGCACAAGTTCTGGGTGTGCTGGGCTTCAGTAGTTGCAGCATGTGGGCTCAGTAGTTGGGGCTCGTGGGTACTAAAGTGTGTGGGCTTCAGTAGTTGTGGCACATGGCATGTGGCATCTTCCTGGATCAGGGATCCAGCTCATGTCCCCCGGATTGGCAGGTGGATTCTTATCCACTGTACTACCAGGGAAGTCCCAGCCCTCTTTTATTTTTTCTTCCCAGACCTCTTTTAACTACTCTATTATTTCACTTCCTTTTTATTACTAAGCCTGTTTATTCCCAAGAGGTAAGTTTTAGCCTGTCATTGAAACCTGCGTCTTATTTTCAGTACTACCTAGATATTTCCTTGATTTTTTTTCCTTTCTCAAGTCCCCACCATGTCTCTGGATGCCCTTAGGGAAAACCAGTGGTCTAAATAACACCTCTTGGAGAAACTGTGAAATTTTCACACTAGAAATTTTGGTTAGAGCAGCATGTCTTAACCGCTGTGATGTTACAGCTGACCAGGCTTTCTCCCCCACTCAGTTCCTTTCCTCTCAGCAGTTGTTCACTGAGTAAGCGAACCACTTGCTAGGCACTGTTAGGTGCTATGACTTGGACTCTGCCTTCATACAACTTGAGGGTCCTTTGAGCAGTCACTGCTGTGCCTTCACTATCACTTTAGTCAATCTCTTCCCTTTTCTTTTCTCTTCTAAACTAGAGCTTACTTGGGCCTTGTGGGTATTTTCTTGACAACCTAAGCCCTGAGTGTCATTGGCTTTATGTCATTTATCTTCTGTCACTTAATGATTATCATCAGTCATCATAATTGATTTGTGATTTTTGTTTAAAAATTATTTTTACCTAAAAATGTAAGCTGATGGTTGAAGAAACTTCAAATATAACATAAGTATGTGCACTAAAAAATAAAAATCACCCGTTATCTCCTCAATACGATCTATTATTAATGCTTCTAGATACTTTCTATTAATACATAAATTTTTTTTACACAAATGGTATTTTAAAGCTTGACATTTTCACTTAGCAGTATATTTTGTGTATATCGTCATGTCAGTGCGTAAGGATTACTTCATTCTTTTTTAATGCCTGTATAGTATTCTAATCTATAAATTATAATGTAAATATTTAACAAGTCTTTTATTTGATGGGTATTTAGATTCACATACACTGTTGAAGTAGATGTCCTTTTATGTGAATTTTTGCTCACCCAAATTGAGTATACTTGTAAGATAAATTTCTAGAAGTGGATAGTTGGAGTAATGAAAATTTTTACTAGATATGATCAATTAATTACCCTTTGAAGAAGTTGTACTGAGAACTCAGCAGTATTTCCTATTCTTGTTTCCTTCCCTTCTGGACAACACTGAGCATTATCATTTTTTTCTGGGGGTTGGGGGGTGCTGTCCTGTTGGGCTTGCATTCCTAAGCAGCATCCTAGTTCCCTAACCAAGGATTGAGCCTGCACCCTCTGCAGTGAGAGCAGAGTCCTAACCACTGGATCCATCTCGAGGAATACTCCCAATCATCATTCTTAATCTTCATTCACTGATAGATTTAAAAAGTAATAGCTCCTTGTGTTAGTATACATTTCTCTAATTATGAGGGAGAGCACATTTTTATATGATTAGCCCTTTATTCTTATTTTTCTGTGGATTTTTACTTTTTTTTTAATGTACATGCTTTTTGCTTATTTTTCTATTGGGTTCTTTTTAAAATTACGTATTTAGAAGAGTTTTTTTTATGTTAAGCAAGTTAGCTCTCTGTCCTCTAGTAAATTTGGGTATTCCCAACCCCAGTTCATTGATTGTAAATTACAAACCTTCATATTGGGTAGTTCAACCTACTTACTTTCTAGATGAGGAAACTGAGGAAACCGTAGGGTTTGTTACCTTTTTGTGTGTGTGAGTGTGTAGACAGATAATGGCCAAGCTAAACCAGTATCAAGTTTCCTTGGTTCCAGCTTGGTGCTTGTTCCATTATACCATGCTGTTTTTTAAAGACTTGCTCCCTTCCCTCTTCCACCAATGCTTTTTACTACTGGATCTTGCCACAGCCAGATATTTCATGATAAACTTAGAAGAGTGGTATTAAAGTTTGAGAAACTACAGAGTTATTCAGGACAGTAGACTTTACAGGTGTTGGACTGTCTCTAATGCATGCACAACTACACTAGTTATGTTCATGTCCTTTTCATTTGTTTTAAAAAAATCTGTTTTGTTTTGTAGGTTCATGGGTGTGTGTGTACATCAAGGACAGTTGCATGCACTCACAGAGGTAAGACTTCAATAAGCATGTTGAAGTGACTTCTTTGCCTTAGTTTCAGCATTTATGGTTCCACTCTAATTGTTACTCACATATGTATGCAAAATATGTATTCATTTATATTTATGCAAAAGGGCATTGTTAACAAAGCTTTCTTCTGTAGCCTTGGAACAGTTTGCCATATCTCTTAATACTCTTGGATTCCCTGATAACACTTGGTGAGAACTCTGGGACTGAGTCAGGGATGCCTGGCGTGCTGCAGTTCATGGAATTGCAAAGAGTCGGACATGACTGAGCGACTGAACTGAATGGGGAATGAGTGCTCAAATATTATATTGGTTGTTGCTGGCTGGATGACCCCTCCTAAACTAAGGGATGACGTCACTTGGCTGCGTGCTGTATCATGGCAACAAATTCCCAGACTATTAAGAAATGTGTGGGGTCCTGATCTAAAATTCCACTGTTGCTGCTCTAGTGTCCTGATTGGAGGAAAGTACTCCTTGTAGAGTTTACATCTCTATTCTCATTTCATTTTCAGTCTCTTCTAGGTAGGTAAATATGTAGTGGTCACTACTTAGGGTCTCAGAGGACCAGAGAATCCCCTCTCAAACAAATGCTTCCCAAATTCAGGTACTAGGTTACCAGCTTCATAATTTGCTCGGGTCACTTCTTAGAAATTTGGATTCCTAGAATTCTCTAGGTTTAGTAGGTCTTCATAAGGCTCCTAGGTATTCTTGAAAACTCTTCAGATTCTATGTTCTAGAATGATTTCACATTTCTCCCTGAGAAGCACCAGAATACAAAGTGAAGAATTTAAGAAGGAAAATTGTTCAACAGAATTTGCAAGAGCATTGGTTTCGTACTGGCTTGGTACCTGGTGTTAATCCTTAATATATTATCAAGGAGGGTCCCATGTGCCTCACCCAGTGTCTTTTTTCTCAATTACTGAGAACACCAGAATGTGGAATGTGTATAGCTATGTCCTGCCTCTTATATGGAAGGCCAAAGAAAGTGGGTTAGTGAGGTAGTGAAGAGCATGGGCTCTGTAGTGTTGATTGCCATATTTCTTAATATTCTTGGATTCCATAATAACTAATTAAATCTAATAATTGAATCTCCCTGTGCTGCAATGTTTTCATTTGTAAGACAGGAATAATAATAGTAGTACCTATCCCAAGGAGTCTAGATAGAGAAGAGGACTATAGCTGAGTGTTAAAGTACTTGAATTTTTAAAGTCTGGTGGGAAAGGCAGATTAAGGAGTAGCTAGGGAAATAGGAAGAACACCAGGAGTATGTTGGCCTGGAATGGAAAGGAAGGGGTTTCAAGGATAAAGAAATAATTATGTAGTTGTGGCAAATGCTGTTGGTAAGATTATGACCACAGTGATACTGTGAGGATGTAAAATGCTTTTTTAACACAGTAACTGGCATACAGTAATTGCTTAATACATTTGAACTATTATAGCATTAACAGTGACCAATCCCTCCTGAACTCCTTGAATTGTCAGTAGTTTTCATTTAGTACTTAATTCTGTACTGCTGTTTATGTCATTAAAATTTTAAAACTTTTTACAAAGTATAAAGAAAAGTACACATATGAAAAATGTGTATCTCACTAGGTTTTCACAAATGAACACACCCATAACCAGCATCCTGGATCAAGAAATATTTTCTGTGTATTTCTTTTCTCAGAAGTGAGTGTATGTATATTCCTCAAAGATAAAACTCTCTCCTCTCAAGCCTTCTATCCACCAGAGCTCTGACACTAATCATAAACTCTTGTGAAAGTATTTGTTTCACTCCCTGTTTATATCATTGTTTTCTGAAATGTGAGTTCATTGGAAGGGCTTGTGTGTTGGTTTTACTGGCAAATAAGAATATGCTTTAAAACCTGTGATCATGCCTCAAATTTGAAAGTGGATGTAGCTAAAAGGGCAGAAATGGATGATTTATGTAGTACAACATTCTTTTGGCCATGTTGCACTTAAATAATATTTTCTGTTGCTTAGTAGCTTGTTTATAGTCATATGCAAGATACAGTAAGTGCTTTGTGAGTGTACTTCTGTCTAATTAATGAGATATTGATATAACTTACCATATTAATAGTCTTTATTATTATATTAGTAGGCCAAAGGTCATGAAGCCCAAATATCCAAATGTTCTTGCTTGTTTTCATAAGGAGATCAATAAAGGCCATCATGGCATAGATTTCTGGAGACTCCTAGGTTTAATGGTCTAATTATTTGACTTGACAGCATAACTGTTGGTTTCACTAAGGACCGTAAAGATAAATTACTAATAACATCAAGCACACTGCTTAGAACTTGGGGTTGGTGGAATACCTGTCCTCCACAGTAATGTGAGCACCATTCCTTATTTCTCTCAAAATAGTTTGTCAGTAATTACAGTAGAGAAGCATAGCTCTTATTGATGCCTATAAAGTATTGATATTATTAAGAAGAATATTTCTCACATACAATGGTGATACAGACTTTTCTGGACCTCAGCCATTTCTACAAGTGTTCGTTGTCATTGTAGACATTAATTGAACTTGGAACAGACATTTACGAGTGTTTTTTTGAACTACTTATAGTAAGCATAGACTTCTAAGTTTTTAAGCAAATTAGTATTTGTTAAAGAGAAAGCAGTTTGATGAAAGATCAGGCACTTTCGAGTTTAATGAGTTGAATTAAGAATCTGAAAGTATGTCTTTGACTCAGAAGACCTAACCTTGTCTTTCATTTAGTCACGAGTATCAAGGAAGTGGAAATTTTTGGTTTTCAAAGACAGAAATATAACCCTATGGTCAGTTAGCTATTGCTGTGTAATATTCAACCACAAAACCATGCAACAATAAACATTTATTTCTCATACCTTTGGAGGTTCTGCTAAGCTGAACTGGGCCCAGTGGCCCAGTTGGGCAGTTTTGCTGCTCTCTCTTGCTCAGTCACCTATCTGCAGGTCTGCTGGTGGTCTGCTCTAAGGTGAGCTTTGTGTGGGCACTTTGCTTCAGCTGTTTCCCATTGTCTTCTGGGACCGGTGGGCTAAGTTGGACTCGTCCTTCTTAAGATGATACCAGAATAGCAAGAGTGTGCCAGCACATTTATACAAGTGCTTTTCATGACTCTGCTTATGTTCCAGTTTGGTTGGCTAATACCTGATTGGACAAAGCAAGTCACATGCCTGAATCCACACTGGGAGCACACTGCAAAGTTCTTTGTGTCAAAGAACATTGTTTCAGTAAGGGGTGAAGAATTGGAACCTCTGTTGCAATATCTCATACCCTATAAATATCCCAGTTAGCACATTATAATTATTTGTCTTTTCTACCCTACTTGAGGGTAAAGACTTCTCTCATTTTAAAAATCATAGCTACTAGTTATTAAGCACCCACTGGGGGCTGAGTGCTATGCTTGGTTCTCTATATATTAGCTATAGTTCTCACAATTCTGTAGTTCTATTTCTTCCATTTTATAGATGAGACAACTAAGGCTTAGAGAAATTAAGTGACTTCCTCAAAGTATGATTTGGATTTAGGTTCATCTGACCTCAAAGTCTATACTCTTTCTATTGCAACATGCTGTCCTTAATTCACTTATGTATTCCCCATAGTCCTGAACACAGGTTCTTGTATGTGTAACACATGTAGTATTTGTAAATTCATTTCTGACTAACTTGGTATATTTTGTGTTATTTGGGAAAGTTGTTTTCTGGTTATTGGATAGATTAGAATGTATTTGGGTGCAAGTAACAGAAAATAGTTAAATGACCTTAAATAACAAAAGGACTCATATAAACTGAAATTCCAGCAGCTTATTAGTTAGAGTTTGGTTTAATTCAGCAGCTAAATATCCTCATATCAAACAGTTTGGGGAACTCCTTTTTTGAGGGGGACCTCTTTGTACAGAACCTTTTAGTGCCTAGAAGATTGGGAATTTGGTGGATGAGCTGAGTTGTAGGGTAGGGGCCTCAAGTGACAATACTCTGGTCAAGGGAGTCAGCAAAATAATTGGTAGGACGTTTTGGGGTCTTTCTTGCCATTTCTGCCATGGAAAAACTATTCTTTTTTCCACTGTGGCAATAAGAGCCACTTAGCTATAAAAAGGGGGCTTCCCTCATGGCTCAGTGATAAAGAATCTGCCTGCAATGCAGGAGATGTAGATTGAATCCCTGGGTTGGGAAGATCCTCTGGAATGGCAACCCATTTCAGTATTCTTGCCTGGAGAGTCCCTTGGACAGAGGAGCCTGGCAGGCTACAGTCTGTGGTGTCGCAAAGAGTCAACACGACTGAAGCGACTGAACATGGCATGGCAGCTATAAGCAGAGCAGTTGCTTGGCCTCTTTACAGCAAAGTTACCTCAGCCAGTCAGATACTTGGGACTGAAAGAAATGCTCTTCACTCATGAGGGAATGTTCAGCCCTGCAAGTGGCTGAAGAGAATTTTTAATTCACAAAGCCCTCATCCTCTTCTCACTCACCATTTCTACCCCCTTCCCCACCTTCTTTATTAAAGAAGAGTTACTTTGGAAATTCCTTGTTTATATGGGTTGATACGTGTTGTTTCTGAGTCAGTTTCTGTCAGACCTCTAAGAAGTCTTGTATAATCAGAGAGCTTACAATGAAAGGAAACTCTGTGGGTTCAGTAACCAAACTCATGCATTATTTATAAAAACGAGCAGCCAGACCCCGATTCCAGTTTCTTGATGTGCTGTGATATTGCCATTGGTTTTGCCTACTGCTTTTCTTATTTTTGTGTGACCCAGTAGAGTATTCTCCTGGTCAAACTTAACTTTGCTGCTGCTGCTGCTAAGTTGCTTCAGTTGTGTCTGACTCTGTGTGACCCCATAGACGGTAGCCCACCAGGCTCCCCCATCCAAGGGACTCTCCAGGCAAGAGAACTTACCTTGAGCCAAATGCAAAGTTGTTTGGTGCCTGCCTTGAGTTAACTTTGGCAGCATAGCTATGCCCTCTATCTTTCAAGCATGTGGCTGCTTTTCTTGTCCCTGGTCTGC